ATGTTTGATTAATTATTAGGTGATTGATTAAATTGTATTTTTAGTTTATATTAGTAAGTTGATTAATTTTAGATTTATTAGATATTCTATATTTAAATAATTTTAGTTTTTTTAAGATTTATTATAACTTAAATTAAACATTGAGCAAATCTTAGTTATTCAGATTTAGTACAAATGATTAAATTTTTAATCATTCGTATTAAATCTTAAACTGTATAATTGGACATATTGAAAAAAAAATAGTTTTCATAATTTATTATAATGCGTACATGGAAGTTTATGTAAATTTGATAAGACTTCAATTGAGATCATTTTGTGTTGTTTTTCATATGCAACTTGATTATGATCATAAATGATCACTTTCACTTCACGTACTTCGAAGCCGAAATTTTATCAAATTTATGATGTATAGACTTTTTTGTATACATGCTAGCAAATTATAAAGAATATTTTTTCGAATAAGTAAGACATCACCTTGGTGAGAGTAAAAAAAAGTGAGATTAATGGAGTTTGTTATGAACATAGTATGGATTGAAGCTGGATTGAGTAACGTCTCATAAGAGTTTCTTCTAGTGTTAAATGTAAAAAATTAGCTATCAAAAGTTTTTTTTATGATAGTATATAAAAGGTAAACAATTTAAAAAATGTAACACTGTATAAATATATGGTTATAATTTAGTATTAAAACATTATAATATTTATTTATTGATAATATGAACATTATAAAAATCAGTATTTATTTTGCATACTTTGTTTTAAGCTTAATTAAATTTCAAATCATAATAAATTTGAGTATTTTCAATTGAATCCTAATTAAATTTCATTGATTTTACTACTCAAAACTTTTATTTTCAAAATTTATTTTCTACCATTTAATTTTTTCCTTAACTGGTGACATGATTATTATTTTGTTTTGTCATCTTACTTGTTTTACCATGTTAAAAAAAATGTAGAATTCTATAGTTAATATAATTTTTTTTTGCTAATAATATAAAATGACATGTTATTTTTAGTTATATCATTGAAAATATGTTGGATAACGAATTTGTTATGCTTTTCAATAGATCCATCAATTTGGTTCATTTCATAAAGAAGTTTGACACTGATTCACATTGGTTGAGCCAAAAAAATCCCTTATATAAAAAGTCAACAATATTAAAATATCCACGAAAATTTAATGAATCAAAACCATGTATCTTTCATTTTAGCATGAAAAATATATGATAATAAACCAAAAAATTAAAAATAATACATTTATAATCTAATTTAAAAATTTAAACTTAAAAATAATACATTTATAATCTAATCTAAAAATTTATGATTTTCTTGATGGCACACATAACAAAAATACAAAATATCGATGAATAAGAATCTCATTATCTTTCCAAATAAAATATCCTTATATATTAAAAATATTTTAAAATTTACATTAGTTATATATATATATATATATATATATATATATATTAATTCTTTTAAAACTATCCAATTTAATTTAAATATTAGTAAGACATATAATTCACGATTAAAATTCTAATTAAATCATTTTATAGTACTAGTTTATTTTAATTTTTTTTAAATATGTTTCCTTGAAATTTGATTTGATATTAACAATAGAAAATATTTTTCTTTATTTGCAATAAATTTTCCAATTAAGTGAAGAAGATTTCCAACTTTTTATTTTATTCCTCTGCAAAGTAAACTTTTTTCAGTATGACATGAAAAGGAAAGACATTTAGTTCATTTTACACGTGGTTTTAGTTTTCTTTCACACAAAAAAAATAAATGTTAATACCTTTTATAACTAAAAATCTCTATTTTTTCAGTTTCAATTTTTATAATTATTATGAAATTAAACATATAATGGTTACATTTTTTTTTTGAAACATCTATTTATAAATACAGAAAGAACTAATAGTTTTTTTTTTTAAATCTGTAATGTATCGATAATTGTTGAACAATATTATCTTGATATACTTTAGTCTATGATCAATATTGGAGTAATCTAATAATAATTATATCTAAATAAATATATGTCAATGAAAAATTATAAAATAATTTAAAGAACACTTAAACGAGTAGTATTGGTGGTTGAGTATTGTTGTTAGAAGAAAACATGCATTTTAAATTTATTTTTTATCAATGGAATATTATTCTTGTTGTATTAAAATATCTAAATATGGAACAGAAAATTAGTATAAGCATAAACTAGAAAGCAACCTTAACTCATTTTATGTAAAATCTCATCATTCACAATTTCAATTCTTTGGAAGGAAAGAATAAAAAAGAAATGTTGAGAAGAGTGTGACAAATATTACTCACTTCATCATCTCACAATATTGCGTCTCTTTAAGATATCATTATCGCCACAATCTCCATTAGTCGTTCTATTATTTACAAATTAGTTATTAGTGTCCTTAAAGATGATGAAGGACGAGAACCCATTTGAGTAACCATGGAAGAGTGAAAGAAGAAACTTGTTTTGCATTGTGGAAAAGTGAGAACCCATGAAGGATTAGTGAGTGACAACATTGAAAAGATAAAATAGTTTTAAAAGGTAAAAGACATTTAGAATAAAACTTAAAGAGTGAAAAACTAAGCTAATTTTTTTAGGGAGATCAAAATCCATCCTAGCTATATTTCCAGCTCACTTTATTTGGGGTTTGGAGGTTAGGGTTTTAGAAAAGTTTACTATTGAGTAAGCCAAAACAATAGGATCTAGATTTAGAGGAGACTAATCATGATGAAAGCTAAATATGACTAAAATTCTTCTCTATAATTATATATATAAATTAATATATAATTTAAAAAATATATTTTTTAACTTTAATATATTTTATCTATTTGAGATTCTTTCACTAAAATATCACATTAACCAAAGATTAAAACGTGTTTACAACATATAAGTAATTACATGTCTCATCTTACAAAATAATATTGTAAGATTAAATTAAATTTAAAATATATTTTTTAAGTTCTACAAAAGTTTTTTATGTATATACATATATTTTGACACCATCACAGTATTTATGAAAGATATATCATTATCCCATCATCTTTATAACGACCAAATTATCATCTCGTCACAACTATCAGACATACTTAATTTTATTAAAAATAATAAAAATCATTTATTGTTTTATATTAATTACATTATCAAGACTTATGTCTTCCAAACAAACTCAACCACATTAACATGATTAAAAAATATTAAAGTTATGAATACTCAATAAAAAAAATTAATAAAATTCAATTTTAAACGTTCAAATTTATTTAATAAGAAATTGAGATAAAATTTACGGGCCCACTTAACCTTGTGAGGATGACGATATCACCAACACAGAAAAAAAATAAGCATACTCGCACCACACTCTGCAATCGCGAGGAAAATTTCAAGATTTTGTTTTCAACTATGCTTAGTTAGTGCGAAACTACTATTTCTCAGAAAAAAAATTATATAGAATGCAAAAATTAGATATATAACGAGTGAAATATATGTAGAATTACAGCATTTTTCCTAGAGCTTCCCGTATGCTAGTTAAGTATTAAAAATGAATTTTTATTTTTCCGGAAACAATAATAAAATATTTTATAGTGTGTATGAATCAGACAATTTAAAAAACAACTTATCTATTTTGATAAATTTAAAATTATTTGAAATGAAATGAGGTATTTGGAAGAGTAAATAAAAAAATTAAGACTTAAAAAATTTAAAAAAATATTTCAAATGATTAAAAATAACATAATTTAAAAGTTAACTAAAAGAGAAATAAAAAAGTGAAATTTCACTACCGATCACTTCCTCTCTACACATATTATACATATATGCATATTGAAAATGATTAAATGATTAAATATTATTTGAATATTTATAAATTTGAATTTTAAAATAAAACTTTCTATTAAAAGAAAAATGAAATTATATATTTTAATTTTTTAAAATTATTGAAATCGCAGATAAAAATACAGGGTTAGGGTTTTTGAAGGTGGAAGTTCATACAAATTTCCCATCTCAGACAGGAACTTTCTGTGAAATAGTTTCTGTAAAACATTCAACCATATTTTCCTTCCACGTTGCCTCGTTAACATCTTCTCGTTCTGCCAGTTCTAGATTCGTTGAAATTGACTATATCGACCAACCACCGCCCAGTGCAAGCGTTTTTCTTTTCTAATATAAAATAACTTCATTCATCTCTCAAGCTATTTCTTTGACTCGCTTTTTTGCAACCCATCAACAAAATAGAGAGTTTTCAGAATTATACATACTCTATTCATTATGTTATTATCATATACTTCTCTAATACATCTTTTACCATCATCAAAATTTAAATAAGATATAATTTATGATTTCAACAAGGTTAAGTCAATAATAATAAAGAATTTGTTAAAAAATTCTATTACAATTATAGAATCTGTGTATCTAGTTCCAAAGGAAAAAATCAATTAAAATTTAACGCAGTCATGCTGTGCTCAGTGTTTCTTTCGTTAGCGCGTAGGTGGAGAAAAACATAGTCACTAGTCACCGTGGTAACGGGGTTTCACCAACCTTAAAAGCGCGTTTGCATGTTCTTTGGTACCCCTGTCGTATGATCGTACACAAATTACGTTTTCACAATAATCATTGTCAATCCATCGCTTTCTAGGTCCCAAGGCGTAAGTTCAGCATCACTATGTCTTCTACCAAACGACGCGGTTAGTTAGTATTTATTTTGATTTCAAAGTTCCACAATTCTTTTGGGAGAACAAAGAATGGTTATAGTGGTTCCTTCTATTGTTAAAATAATCCGATGGTCGCTTTTATGTTTTCAATGTTTCATTAGAGTCCAAAAATGTTTGTTCTTTTGGTTGATAAAAGACAAAAGTAGTTTGTACTAAGTGCTTCTCAAGTGTCTCTTTACTTGTCGCGTTTGCGCACTGCTTAACGAGGCTTCCTTACATCTTCCTCGCATTTATATATGTGCCATTAAGGGTTATGTCGTTGGGATATCTGAGAACTGCTTGAGTTATTCATTTCAAATCCTTGGATGGTCTCAAATAATAAGCAAACTTTCGAGGGGAATGAAAGTGGTGAGCGCAGAGTTAATAGAATTCCAATTATGCAATCTAGACAGAAACATAATGATCCAAAACAAGCGCCTCTTAGGTACTTGCCATTTGTAACACTTATTATGATGTCGCTTGATACAAACTCTAAATTTGTTTTTCTTTTTGCTGTTATGTTGTGGTGTGGCCTTAGAAATTTGAGAACAGGGGTGTGGCCCAACGACTACGAGTTGTACTTTGAACGTTTCTTTCGAAAAGTGGTAAGAAATTAACGAGTCTCTTACTATGATGTAAAAATGTGTACTGTTTCTAACTATTTGCAGTTGCTAAATTGCGATTACTATTCAGTACCAAGTATTTGAATATCACGTTTTCTTTAACCTTTCACTGATGTGTATTATAAATGCACGAGCTAGGTACGCGAGGAGGTGGAACGTAGAATCCAAGATTACTTACCTGCAAGGTCCGTTTCTCTAGCTCAATTCTGTTCATGAGAAATAATTGTTTTGTGCTTTGTATTACGTGGTTAGTCGTCTTTGTTACTGAATCTGGAAGATATATTCCTAATTTGTTTAATGTTTAATATGTGATGTTCTTTTCAAATTTGTTACAGGGCATGGTATGATCAGATTGGTGGTGATACGTCCAGAGCATCGCCCTTTGAGTTGCGTTTCACTAATAAATTGCCTGATATAATTTTTACCCACTCTAACGTGATATCAGAGGATAAAACACCCATTCAAATTGCTCTCTTTGATGTCAGAGACCAGTCAGTGGTTAATGTTGGTCCCCTCTCCTCTGCAAAGGTAGAAATCTGTGCCCTCAATGGCGAGTTCGGTTTCAATGGAAGTGAGGATTGGACCGAAGGTGAATTCAATGTGAATATCTTGCGTGAGAGAGATGGCCGAAGACCATTGTTGAATGGAGATAGACTTATAACATTGAAAAACGGAGTAGGTTGTATCGATAAAGTTATGTTCACGGATAATTCACGGTGGATTCGAAGCAGAAAGTTTAGGTTGGGAGCCAAAGTTATCCAAACAACTTCTAATGAAGCTAACATTAAGGAAGGTAGAAGCGAACCTTTTGTGGTCAAAGATTACAGAGGAGAATGTAAGTCTCAAAAACATCTTATTCTTTTCACGTCGTATCTACTGTTTTTGTTATTGTCATTTGTATCTATGATGTTTTATTTTTTATTCTATTCTTTGTCTATTTAGAAAACTATTTCAATGAACTGAAATTTTGTCGTTTCAGCGTACAAGAAACACCACCCTCCTTCCCTGAACGATGACGTTTGGCGATTAAAGCAAATTGCCAAAGATGGAAAAATTCACAAGAGGCTGTCCCTCCAGGGAATTCACACCGTGAAGGACCTTTTGCGGTTATACACAACAAATCCATCTTCATTACTTGAGGTAAAAATTCGGTTTTCCCTTTTTTTTATCATGTGTAAATAATTATTGAAATTCGTACGTAGAATATGCATATTCATGTTGATTTATTGCTCTGGAGATGTAGAAGGTTGGCAACATTCCAAAGAGATCATGGATGTCAATTATTGAACATGTCAAGACTTGTGTGATAGATGACGACGAGACTTTTGTATACAACACAGCGGAGCAATCGACGAGTTTGATTTTCAATTCCATCTATGTCCTTGTGGGTGTGAGTTTTGATGGGCAAAATTATGTATCCCCTGATACTCTTAGCTCCGATGAAAAGGTAAACACTTGTGCTGTATTCTGCCCTCTCACAGATTTAAGGATTTTGTTGTATTTATACCTGTGGGTTAGAAGTGATTTGATCCTCTTCAAATTGCAGGGTGTGGTGGAAATAATGAAACAGCATGCTTACCAAAATATGGATAATCTCATATCAGTTCACAAGACATCACTGAGCTGCTCAACACCATTGGCATGTGTAGGAGTGAGACAGTTTGATGCTACAGAGCAAGGTTTTCAACAGTTACATATCTCTACTGAACAAGAAGGTATATAATCTGATCTTAGACTCTTTTTTTGGCTGTTTCATTTCAGTTATAGCCCTTGTCTTGTTTTCCTATTAAATGTCTTGTTCGTATGCTTTTACCTTTTTCGTGCAGGTTATGGTCACCCGTATGCCTCAACTTCATATGGGGATGAAGGCCTTCCTAATCACAATATCTACTCTGATCCGAATTCAGTGCCAGACATAACAGACAAAATGTGTCTATTAGAGTATGTAGGCTTTGGTTGGTTTCCATAGACAAAATGTGTCCATATTTATGTTTATGTTTGTGGAAGTTACTAGACTTGATTGCGAGTGCAGTGAAGAGATCCTGAACATGGGTCCTCGCGCTCTCACAGCATAAAAAATCACATGTACAATTTGTGGTAAAATTAGTTTCGTACGCGAATCATCTACTTAGAATACTTATCCTATTGCTTTTTCTTGTTAAAAAACAAAGAAGGTAAATAGTGCACGGTACAATTGATGGACAAAAAATAACCTGAACTCTGCTTATCTCGTACATTTTCGTTGTATGCTTCATATGTTAATGATTTAAAAATCTGGTACGTACCACACAAACTTCACGAGTTCCATATTTTATTTTAAAAAAATTCATAGCAAAAGTAGCTTCAAACATTTATAAATTGTTTTTGATGGAATGTAAAGTTATAACGTTATCATGCATTTGTTATTTTCCGATTCCAAATCAATCACATTAGAGGAGGTAAGGGGTTTTCATTCTCAAATATAAAATCAATTTTGATTTTAAATTCGTTAAGTTACAATAATTAGAGTTAATTATTATATTCGAAGTCAGATAGTTAGAGTTAATCATTATATTCGAAGTATCTTCCACTTTGAAATATCTAATTCTAATTATATTTTTAAAAGAACTATCATAAAGTAAAATTATACGGTTTAAAAATTTTATTGTTTCAATTTTTAATTTGTCAAATAATATTATTAGAACCAATTTCTGGATTCAAAATATTATCTATTTTGAAGTTTGAAATTCTATCATAGTTTTGTTTTTAAAAGACCCGTATGATAAGATTAAAATGAGAAGTTGGTCGCTAAATTTGAAATTATTGAATGTACCTAAACCTATTATATATATTCTCCTTAAAAAAAAAGGGTTGTTTAAAAATATTTCTTCTAAAATATATTTAATGTGATTTTAAAAGTTATGGGATTGTAGTGAAAATTACGGGGTTGCGAGAATAAGAAGGCAATGAATAATAAAATATTAAATGAGCCGGGTTTGTATTGTTTGGGCCAAGTGACTTTTTGTGCTCATAAATAATCAAGTAGTATTGCAACTCTAACTTGTGTCGTCTACAAACTACAATCTCCTATAGAAGTAATATTTTCCCTCATCTTCATCCAGTTCAAACCAGTGGCATTTTCGAAAATGTGAGCGGATCCAGGTCCACTTTCATCACAACTTCTGCTTCCACTTCCACCCTCGTATATAAACCTTTCACTTTCCACTTCCCCTATTCAAACTCTCAAGAAAACCCAAAATTCTCTCTTTACTTTCCCATATCCAGTTATCCCAAACCCTACCGTACCGTTAGGTTCCCTAGTTCAACACTCCGAGGAACGGTGCGCTGCTTCTTAGTTCGTACAATTTCCGTCGATTCTCTCCGAAACGATGTCGTATCGCCCAAGCGGGAACTCCAGGACCGAGGTCCGCCGGAACCGGTACAAGGTGGCGGTGGATGCCGAGGAAGGTCGGAGACGGCGAGAAGACACCATGGTGGAGATCCGGAAGAACCGCAGAGAAGAGAGTTTGCAGAAGAAGAGGCGTGAAGGGCTCCAACCTCAACAGATTCCTGCTTCCATTCACTCTACTTTAGTGGAGAAGAAGGTCAATTATCGAATTGCTTTCGTTTTTATCTTTTGTTGGTGTATTCGTCTCACTCTGATTGTTCAGTTGATTTGCATAATTCGTTATAGTTGCGTTTGCTTTATTTAATTTTTGAATGAAAGTAGTGTGGTTGGATGTTGTATGTTGATGCAGTTGGAACACCTACCATCAATGGTTGCTGGTGTTTGGTCTGAGGACAATAACCTGCAGCTCGAAGCAACGACTCAGTTTAGGAAGCTGCTTTCGATTGGTTCGGATTGGTCTCTGTGTTTAATTTGTTTGGTGAGTTTAATGAAGGTTTAGTTGATCCGTTTTTTTCTTTTTGCCAGAACGAAGTCCTCCGATTGAGGAAGTTATTCAGACTGGTGTGGTTTCTCGGTTTGTCGAATTTCTGATGAGGGAAGACTTTCCGCAGTTGCAGGTTTTTGCTTGTCTGTTTTTTTATTTGTTTTTGAATTAGTAATTTGAATATTACTTATGTGGTTGTTTGTCTGTTGCGTGTTGCAGTTTGAGGCCGCTTGGGCTTTGACAAATATAGCTTCTGGAACGTCTGAAAACACCAAGGTGGTGATTGACCATGGGGCAGTACCAATATTCGTGAAGCTACTTGCTTCCCCCAGTGATGATGTCCGTGAACAGGTATATATTATTCATATCTCAACATACCTTCATTTGCCTGTGAAATCCAAAAACATTTGAGTTTGAGATCATAATTTTTGTGTTAATGAAATTAAAAGGGTAGCACTTTTCTGTTTTTGGATTTGGATGTTTGTGGGTTTGGTGTTCTTATGTACGTGCCTGCAAAAAGGGAATGGGGTTTGAGCGGTCAGCTTTGTACTTGTGCTGGGTATTTTGTTTATCAACTATTAATACGTAGCTAACAACAGAAGACAGACAACAGTACCTTGTAGTTGCATATTTGCCTTGTGTCATGCTATCATTTTGTAGTAACTTAACAATTTTTCTGTTGGTGTTTTGGGTATTTATAGGCGGTGTGGGCATTAGGAAATGTTGCTGGGGATTCTCCTAGATGCCGTGACCTTGTTCTCGGTCATGGAGCATTGATTCCTTTGTTAGCTCAATTGAACGAACAGGCGAAGCTTTCTATGCTTAGAAATGCTACTTGGACACTTTCTAACTTCTGTAGGGGCAAGCCACAGCCTCCTTTTGATCAGGTATAGAAATATCTATTGCTTAATCTCTATAAATAATTAAGTTTGGTGAAAAATATATATTTTTGGCCCTTACATTTTGTATAGATATTATATTCTCTGTTAATATGATGAAATGCTCATCCTTGGTTGGTGAAATATTATTTATGTGGTTATCAACATTGAAATTTGCGTGTCTGTCACATGATTAAAAGGGAAAGCAGTTATATATAACTCAATTTATTATTTTGAATGTTCTTGTTTATCAAGTCTCTGTGTCTAGTATCTACCTTATAGATTAAAGTTTTATGTGATTATGCATTATATTTATACCTTATTATAGTTGGTCCTATTATCTGATGAACATTCTTCAGTTTTTTCTTTATTTTATATCAACAAAATATTTCCTCTCCTATTATGAAGTTGCAAATATGCTTTCAGGCTCTGAAACTAATGTCTATGCTAGGAGAAATAAGGAATAGAAGGGCTGTGAGGAAGGGCTCAGATTGATGTGTGAACCCTGAGTGTAATAGAATTGATAGCTCGCAGGGTGTGAATTGGCCGGGTCCTGGAAGGGAAAAAGTGTATGTTTATAAGAGGGTGGGTCGTGAGAGGGAGAGGGAAATTTGGAAAGTTAAGGTTGCTCTGGTCACAGGGAGTGGTGTGCACTATCTTATAGCGCTCTTTCATATTTTATTCAGTGTTTTTTTTTTTTTTTAAATTTCAGTTCTATTTTGTTGTATTTGGCATCATTTTATAGTTCGTGGGACAACTCACTTGTTAGGAGCCAAGCTTCAGTCTCTCCAGTTGAATATATTTGCACTTGTGTACATCTTGAGTAGGCCATTATTATCAAATTATACTGTTAACTGCTGTCCTTACAATCATGGAAGCAAACCGGTAATATTGAACTAGTAACAAAAAAAAAAGAACTTTTAGGGTTACCCATTGGCTATATCATTGAGTAGTTGTTTTCTTAATCGTGTCATGCTTTTACTGATTGATTATTGGCTGCTATTTTTATATCACCGATCATACATTTTACTTTACTAGTTTTTTCCTTAAGGTTAAACCTGCACTGCCTGCTCTTGCACGTCTTATCCATTCAAATGATGAAGAAGTCTTGACTGATGCATGTTGGGCACTGTCATATCTTTCTGATGGTACAAATGATAAAATTCAAGCTGTGATTGAAGCTGGTGTTTGTCCCCGACTTGTTGAGCTTCTAATGTGAGTACTCCCTTCTCAAAAATGACTATGCTAAGACATGTATCTCATATGTCATTTTAATGCTGTCCCACACTTCTTCAGGCATCCATCCCCTTCAGTACTAATTCCTGCTCTTAGAACTGTTGGAAATATTGTCACTGGAGATGATATGCAGACACAGGTATTATGTTCAAGAATGTCCCTTGTAGTTGTTGTGTACAGTGTGTGACTTTGCCTGTTTACATTACACTAATACAGAATAAGGAAAACAGTGATAACATTACTCGCAATTAGCCTTTTGAATTTTCTTTTCATTTTTTCTTTTTTACCGTTGATGCAAAGTGCCCTACAGTATGACTTTTTATATATTTATCATCTAGTGTGTTTATCATCTAGAAGTTTATCCATTAATGTTTCTTTTTAAGGTTACTAGATCTTTGTGGTTTCCCTTCCCCCTCAAACTAACATTCATCAAAATGAAATGCTATTTACTTGAGGCATATATGCCAATTCTTTCTCTCGGCTGGACATATAAGGATTTTATCCGGAATGTCATATTTAGACGATTCCAATCTGTAGTTTGGTTCTTAAGGTGTAACTCAATAGGTTACTGCCAAGATCACCTGATCAAACTCTTATCTGATGATTTTTTTTTTCTAGTTCATGTTTGCTTTAACCTATTGTTTTTTGCTCAATAGGTTATCATCAATCATCAGGCACTTCCTTGCCTTCTGAATCTGTTGACCAATAATTATAAAAAAAGCATTAAGAAGGAAGCTTGTTGGACTATATCGAACATTACAGCTGGGAATAAACAGCAGATTCAGGTTTAGTTACTTCTTCATTTTATGATAATTAGAAATTGATATTTATTTTATGTTCTTGCAATAATATGTTGTTTGGTTCCTGATAATAACAGGCTGTGATTGAGGCTAATTTAATTACTCCTCTGGTCAACTTACTTCAAAATGCCGAGTTTGATATCAAGAAAGAGGCTGCTTGGGCCATCTCAAATGCTACATCTGGTGGTTCCCACGAACAAATCAAGTATGGAGAAGCACTGCTTTTTAATATTCTTCAGGAGGTTAATACGATATCATGATTTTATTTCTTGCAAGATATGAATTATTTATCTCTGGTTTACAGGTTCCTAGTAAGTCAAGG